TGCTGAAGACAAAATGGATGCATAAGCAAATGTGGTGAAGAAAGCTGATGCTGCCTGGCTATCAAAAGATACAGCATCTGGGGTCTTAGAGGCTTGAAAACAAACAAGCAGCCATCTAGCTGAGAACAACAAAGCCCACCTGGAAGAAGCACACCAGCCGGTGTGATCATCAGGTGTCAATGGGATCAGGTTTCAGGCATCTAAGACCCAGAACAAAATCATACCCAATGTGAATAGGGTGGGGTGGGGGCATTGAATGGAGACCCATTGCCCATCTGTAGACAACTGGACATCCCCTCACAGAGAGGTTACAGGGAAGAGATGAGTGTCTTTCTGATATAATGATGTTAGACAACGTATCTTTCTGAACCTTTAAAGAAATTTAGCATACTGGGTTGGATATAAGCTCCATTGAAAATAGACTTGGATGTAAGGCCTGGCTGATGGTTTCAGGATCTCCACTATAATCATATTAGCTATGCCAGGCAATTGATAGACTTGCTATAAAGAATCACTGAAGAAAAGACAAGAAACATACACACAAACACACACACACACACACACACACACACGCACTCACTCACTCGCAAAACTCTGGCTGCAGTTAATGAAATAATTAAATGGAAGTAGTATTTTTAAATTGCAGTTGGAACACGAAATTAAATTACATTAGAAACTGTTATAGATTTGGACAAGTTTTCATACTGTTAATAAATCTATGCATAATTCATTTTCTTGTAGGTTATGACAAAACAGCATAAATAACTTCATTTGTAAGGCTGTGAATTTTCCTATTCTTAATTTGTAATTGGGTGACGGCTAAAACCATTTAAATGCTTCTGGATGGCTGAATATATAAATGTTTAAAATGAACAGTTATAATAGGTTCCTAGGCAGTTTTGTTTACTTAATATGCTTACATTTATTTTCAGATACTGGCACAGCACAGATGTTGCATAAAGATTGCAACCAATATGCTGTGCAGTTGATGTGACTTTTAAGGAGAAAATATTAAATATCTGCTCCTGGAGAAAGCTCTCTGATGCTCATTGAGCCAAGCTTGTATGCCAGGCCCGATGCTGCTCACTTTCGCATTCCTTCCTCCCTGCAGCCCCAAAGGAGTTCTGGAGGGCAGTGGGTTTTGCAGGGCTTGCAAGTGGAAAGGTTAGCAGTTTGCCTCTACTACTGACTGTGCTGCAAAAAGATGAGGCTTTCTATTCTGGTTAAGATTGACAGCTTCAGAAAGACAAAGGGTGCGATTCTACATTGTCCTGTAGACTCACTAGGAGTTGTAATCAAATTGATGGCAGTGCTTTTTGGTGTTTTTGTATGTGTGTGTGTGTGTGTGTGTGTGTGTGAGAGAGAGAGAGAGAGAGAGAGAGAGAAACACCCAAAGGCAGTGGTATTAACTCTGTTGAACTGTCGAGGAAACTGGGGCTCAAAGAGTGCAGGAGTTAGCCTCAGGTTCTGCAAGTGGTTAGTGGCAAAGCAATGGCTTTGAGCCATGCACGCTGGGTCTGCAATTTGCATTCTTCCATAATCTACAGCCCAAGACAGGGAAATTTAGCACCTAGATTTCCAAGAGACAAACCTGCTTTATTAGGAGGGAGTCTCTCGCCCCAGGGCAGAGTCATTAGGTGGCATTTAGGGGCTAATTGAAAGTTGGTGGCATGCTTCCACCCAGATGCTCATTAGAAGAAAGGCGTTGGCGCTCTCTGTGGAAACTCAGCCATCGGAAACCCAAAGGGTCACAGTTCTGCTCTGACACTCATAGGATCTCCATGAGTCGGATCCTTGACCCTTGACAATTGTTTCATGTTTTTCTTTGCTTCCTGCAGCCGTGGCCAAGCAGTGGCTGAGTATCGGCACTGCGGTTCCTTGGGCACATGCAGTGGCCGC